ATATTCCATACTCCTCTGTTAATATTATTTTTCATAATGTTTTCAACAGTCTCATTTTACTTTTAAGCCCCATTTTACTTTAAAGTTGTGCTTTTCCATTGTAGCTATACATTTGAATGACCTCTCTCTCACTGCCATCGAGTCAATGTTGACTCATAGTGATGATGCCCTCTAAGGGTTTCTGAGAGTGTAATGTTTTATGGGAGTAGAAAGTCTAGTCTTTCTCCCTCGGGGCTGTTGGTGGTTTTGAACTGCTGACCATGTGGATCGCAACCCAATGTGTAACCACTACACCACCAAGGCTTCACACTGCAATCTCATGTTCTGCAGGGCAGCATCTTTATATGGGCACCTTCATTAACACAAGGGGTGTCCTTCCTGGTTTGGAGAATGAGATAATGGAGACAAAATGGAAGTTTGAGAAAAATGATTTATTGACCGACCTGGAAAGCATGTATACAATCTTATTATTCACAAATATTGTCATTTATTCATTCAATTTCCCTCTTAAGTATGGAGTTCAGGAGCTGAAAGAAAACCTGAAGGTTATCTAGTCAAACCTTCTCATCTTTCAGATAAGAAACAAAATCACTGAGTTGAGGTGGCCTGTCCACCTACACTAATGTGCACAGGCGTGAAGACCAGACCCAGGTGTTCTGATTTCTGTGATTAGTACAGTGCCCCTTAATAGACTTAAATCCAAGATAGTCAGGTTTCTAAATACAGAGAGCCAGTTAGGGGTCCAGTATGGGGTGAGGTGCTGGCATTGCAGAGATGATCAGGTAGCTCCCAGCCTGGCGGATATACAATCATGGCACTTTGAGATAAGAGATGGCAAATAATAATACAAAGGTTATAAGTCATCAACTCTACCCTTCCCATAAACCTCATGCCACAAGTTATCTTAGTTATTATATTAATTTGCTTAGCAAACCTTTTTGTATATATGTGTGTGTGTGTGTGTGTGTGTGTGATATGAAATATGTAAACTTTGGCCCCACCTACTTGGGGTTCACAACCCGCATCCCCCCCACAAATGTTTTCTTGGTGTCTTGGATTTTAGGCCTGTCCCTGGTTTATTTGGGGCTCTGATTCAGAAAATTGAATTGCATAGACTGCATCAGTTCTAGTTTCTTAGGTATGGTGTTCCATTATATTTTCAGCTATTAGGTCATACAAATGTATTGATTTATTTTAAATATGTGAAGAATCTGACCCACAAATTACAGGATCAGACTGAAAAGGCGAGAAATATTTGAAAAGATTTAGGTATTAAATGACTTCCAAGGGATGTTGTATATGGACCCATGGTGGCTAGTTGGTTACGCATTGAACTGCTAACCATAAGGTTAGTGGTTTGAACCCCCAGTTACTCTGCAGCCTTTCAAAGATGTAAAGTTTTGGGACCCCAAAGGGGTGGTTCTTCTCTGTCCTGTAGGGTCACTCTGAGTTAAAGTTGATTAGATGACAGCAGGCTTTACTTTGGGGCATGAGAGTCTGTACAATATGTGCAGAGACTACAGGCTGGATCCTGAAAGCCAGAGCACAGTTTGAGAAGAGTGGAAAATAAAAAGGGAGATGGTAACGCTTCATACAAGGAAAGTGAGAGGGCAATTAAAGTGTCCCAAATGGAAGACTTGGTACAATTTTCATAAATATTTTGAACAAGTCTATTTTTCTTCTTCAAATGATGCAGTCAACATTTCAGAACAATTTTAATAGCTAGGAATCAATGGATCCTTTATGCTCAGCATTTCAGACGTGAGGTTGACTCCCAGCTTCTTTATAAGAAAAACTCGAGCTCTTCTTTGAAGAGTCTCTGTGCAATGTGAAATTCACCGTCTCGTAACAAGACGAACATTTTCAATTGGATACAGGAGTTTGACCTCTGACAGACCCAGTTTGGGTTTCGGAACACTTGAATCTCTATTTATTGCAGCAAACTCACTCCGGTCAATTGGTTGTGATCCAGAG